TCCTCCTCCTCCACATTTGCTTATTAGTATAGTATCTCTTTCCAAAGCTGGTACCCTTTTCTTCAATAATATGGTAAAAACTGAGTATAACCCTTAATTCAAGCTAGGCCTCTGCTTCTACCTGAATTGGTACAAAATTAAGACACTATATCTTGTAAGAACTAAAATTGTATTTGAAATTTTTATTTTAGGCTGCAAAACCAAAAACAAGCAAACAATGAATAGGCTTGTCAAATGATATAAATTCTTCCTTTTCAGGAAAGCAGAAGGTAGACATTGCCACAAAGAAAAGATGCTTAGTTTAATGGAGGTTAAATTTAAAAGTACAGTTAAATTCAGGCTAACTTCTGAAAATCCTGTTTTATTCACCTCACTGTGGTACCAGTAACTATACTGAGTCAGGTTACTTTATAGTTAACTATGTCACTTTTAACACAATACTCCATTAAATATACTTATTGGGTGTGGTCATACTGGAAATTCTTAACCATACAGTTGTCTTACCAGTTGTTTATTTAAAACGATGAATTGTCTTATATAAGTCACTGTGTTTCTGTAACAGAGTAATGAAAGGCACAGCTAATCCAAGTGGACTTAACCATATTCAACAACCAGTTGAAAAAATACTTTCGTTCTTCAGGGAAAAAATTATGAAAAAAAAAAAAAAAAAAAGGTTTCCTTTTAACACTTGACATTTTCATAGCTGTACTCCAAGAGCTACATAAAAATATTCCAGAAGAACCAAATTATGCAGCGATGAATGAAACGTGTTACAGAATTTGTGCATTCAACATATTTGGCAGAAAAACTAGTTAAAATGCTAATTAGAACAAATTGGTCTTTAAAATATCAGTTTCTTGTCTTTAAAATAAAATTACCCTCTCTACCAAGAAAATACAAAAGGCTGTAAGTAAATAAGAGTTGTGTTTAGGCTATGACAGTGCAGGTTATCCTCAAGGCCACATACTTCTTGCTTCACTGCTGTTTGCATTTTGCTGCATTTTGATCCTTTGGGTCAGAGTCTGGATCATTTTCCTCATCTCCTTCTTCCCCTTTCTCATCTGCTTCTTCACCTTCATCACCTTCATCATCATCATCATCATCATCATCATCTTCAATAGCTTCTCTAGTAAAGTATAACACTGATCTTGGAGGCCGGGCGCGGTGGCTCAAGCCTGTAATCCCAGCACTTTGGGAGGCCGAGGCGGGTGGATCACGAGGTCAAGAGATCGAGACCATCCTGGTCAACATGGTGAAACCCCGTCTCTACTAAAAATACAAAAAATTAGCTGGGCATGGTGGCGCGTGCCTGTAATCCCAGTGACTCAGGAGGCTGGGGCAGGAGAATTGCCTGAACCCGGGAGGCGGAGGTTGCGGTGAGCCGAGATCGTGCCATTGCACTCCAGCCTGGGTAACAAGAGCAAAACTCCATCTAAAAAAAAAAACAAAAAACAAAACAAAACAAAAAAAAAAACACTGATCTTGGGATTATATGCTCATGTAAAAAGTGACCAATTTCAAAGACTGCAGCAAAGATAGCTTCAGCATCATCATCCAGATCTCCATTCTCAGGAACTTCAGGAGGAAAAAAAAAATTAAAGCGTCATTGGAAACTGTTTTAATCACAGTATGAACTGTCCCATGTCCCTTGTGTTTCTGCTGCTGCTTAATGGTTTTCAAAGTGACATTCTTTCCTTTTTACCAATCTATCTGGAACCCTGCACAGCCCATAATTTCTGGTCTATCAAAAGAAAAGGGATGAGAATCATCTGCTCTGACCTCATACTATATGTCTTTGTCAGTACTTCATTTGTAAAATATTCATTGGGCTCAAAATGAAATTCTAAGAAAACTCATAGGCTGGCCAGCTTCGGAGACTTTCACTTTAATATCTTTCAAGTGCTTCAGAATAGGTTCATCATGTTCCTGAACCATATCACTGAGCAAGTCAACATTCTTAAAAACAGTTAACCAAAATTCAGGAATTCCTTTAGGGTCTTCTTTTTCTTCATCCTTTTTCTCATCTTTAATCTTGGCCTTTTCTTTCAACTCCTCCAAAATCTCATCGTCATCTGGTTTCTGTTCACATTTTTCTTCCATAGGTTCATAAATTGCATTAATAATCTCAAATTGCTTATCAAATAAAGGCTGATATAGAACAGCATACTTCCTTTCAAGATCTTGAACTTCCTCCTAGAATTTGGCTTCTGTCTGTGCACATTTAACTTGCAGGTTGTTGAGAGCATTCACTCGTCTTTTAACTACCGTAGGCAGGTTGTCAGTGTCTGCCATGTTGTAAGAACTCCAAATGTTGGTGGCTAGTATGGGGAGCCAGGTGGCTAGAGCTGTGCGGGCAGTGACTCAGGGTGGCAGCTGCAGTAGGAGGAGCAGGAGGTGGCACCGCAAGCAGATGGCACTAAAAAAGGAGACCCCATCTCTTAAAACGAAAACAAACCCTTAATTTCACCAACCCGAGGTACTTCCTAAAATTTGGCATTGACCTAGGCACTTTTCTGTGCATCTATAACACAGAAATGCCTGTACTGTACATCTTTAAAAATCAGATGCTATACTTATTTTGAAATAATTCTTAAACCATGTAACAACTTTCTCATATTGTCAGTTGGAAGATTTGCATAGTATTTTACTTTTTAGATATAGCCTCATTTATTGGGCTACTCTCCTACTACTGGAGAGTTTGTTTTCTGTTATAGACACATATAAACAGTGCTGTGATGGACTACCTGCACCTATCTTTGGGGCACTGTGTCCAGGTAAACACTGAGGATAAATTCGTAGAAGTAGGTTTATTAGATTAAACGATATAACATCCTTAGAATCTTTCATGACATACTGCATACTGTTAGCATATTGTACTGTTTTACTACTAGCAAGTACATCCATTTCTCTACACCTTCATTAGAAAACCTTTTTATTTTGAAGTAATTAGACTTACAGGAAGTTGCAAGGTGATGTAAAGGGAGGTCGCAGCACCCTCCACTGTGTACCCTTCCCCTCCTCCCCCACTGTTGGACATCTTGCATAACTATAGTACAATAACCGTGAGAAAATGGGGATGGGTACAATCCACAGAGCTTGTTCAGAGTTCACCAATTATACATGAACTCATTTGTGTGTATGTTGTTCTGTATACTTTAGTGGGAGGTGGTCTTCATATGAGTCAACTCCCATAATGAGAGTATTTATCAGAGAAATTATTCAATGCTTATATGTATGGCATATTGAGGGAAGTAAAGACTACCACAATGGGCCTTCAAAGAGTTTACTGGGTAAGGTAGGTCAGGGTAATACGGGGCTTGATTAGGTTGCAAAAGTATAACTATTTTATTTAAATACTTCTTATTGTTAGATATAATTCATATTTAGAAAAGTACATACAGCTTATATGTACATTTTGTAAATAGTTAATAAACCAATTATCTGTGTCCACCTAATCAAGCATTTGAGACATTGAAGAGACACCATGTACATTTATTTCAGGGTTTGGGAAAGCTCCACATTTAAGAAAGCATTTGAATGGTGCTCTGAATAGAATTCGAGAAGGCAGTAATGAGAGGGCATTTTAAGCTTGGGAATAGCAAAGAATAATGCAAAAATAATGTATGTGGAGAACAGCATGTATAATGATGGGACATAAGAGATAAGGCAGGAAGGGTGTCTAGGAACAAGACTCTAGAAAGTCTTTAATATTTTGTTCAGAATTTGGAGAATGTCTTATTAAAAAAAACACTTTTGGTCAGAGGAATAATTTATTTTATTTATTTTTATGAGACAGAGTCTCACTCTGTCGCCCAGGCTGGAGTGCAGTGGTATGATCTTAGCTCACTGTACCTTCCACCTCCCAAATTTAAGCAATTCTCCTGTCTCAGCCTCCCAAGTATCTGGGATTACGGGAAACTGCCACCATGCCTGGCTAATTTTTTTGTGTTTTTAGTTTTCACCATGTTGACGAGTCTGGTTTTGAATTCCTGACCTCAACTGATCCGCCATCCTCAGCCTCCCAAAGTGCTAGCATTACGAGGGTGGGCTACTGTGCCCGGCCGGATCATTTATTTTAGAAGGATAATTCTAGTAATTTTGAAAAATTATTTGGTGAAGGGAAAGGTTGGAGGCAGAGAGATCAATTACTGGTAATTTTAACCACTTTAAGTGCACAATTGAGTAGCATGATTTACATTTACAGCGTTGAACAACTATCAGTAACATCTATTTCTAAAATGTTTCATCGCTGCAATAGAAATTCTTATCTATTAAGCAGTTACTCCTCATTCCCCTCTCCTCCAGCCCTGGTAACCTCTACTTTACCTTTTTTATTTTTTTGAGACAGCCTCACTCTGTCATGGAGGATGGAGTGCAGTGGCGCAGTCTGGGCTCACTGCAACCTCCGCCTCCCAGGTTCAAACGATCATCCTGCCTCAGCCTCCTGAGTAGCTGGGATTACAGGTGCCTGCCACCATACCCAGCTAATTTTTGTATTTTCTTTGTATTTTTAGTAGGGATGGGGTTTCACCATGTTGGCCAGGCTGGTCTTGAATTCCTGACCTTAGGTGATCTGCCCATCTTGGCCTCCCAAAATGCTGGGATTACAGGTGTAAGCCACCGCATCCGGCCGAATTTACTTTCTGTTTCTATGAATTTGCCTATTTTAGATATTTCATATAAATTGAATCATTCAGTATTTGTCCTTTTGTGCTTGGCTTATTTCTGTTAGAATAATGTTAGACCAGTATCTTTTGCCTGAGCTACTATAAAAATGTACTCAATAGTGGTTGTAAAAATAGAGAGGAAGGGATGATTTGGGGGAAGCATTATCAAAGGTATTTGTAGAATTCAATTGGACTTGAATTTTAAAAAAGACAATTCTAGGGTTTCTAGTTATTAAACAAGATAGGAAACATAAGGTGCTTAGTACCTAGATAAAGAGATTTAATTTGTCTAAAGCAAGAATAAGGCTGGGTGCAGTAGCTCACGCCTGTGATCCCAGCATTTTGGGAGGTCGAGGTAGGTGGATCACTTGAGGTCAGGAGTTCGAGACAAGCCTGGCTAACATGCTATGCTTATTTGTTTACATATTGTCTATGACTGCTTATGTGCTTAATGGTAGAGGTGAGTAGTTGCAGCAGAGACTGTATAGCCTAAAAAGCCTAAAATATTAACTCTGTGACCCTTTATGGAAAAAGTTTGCCAACCTCTACTCTTGATTGTGAATCAATGAAAATAAATATAAGGCACTATTTCCTGTCCTTAAGGAGCTTATATTCTAGTTGAGGAAAACTAGGGCAGAGAAAAGGTGCTTAGCAATTCTTAGTTAACTGATGTTTTATGTCAGAACAATTATTATATTTACAAGTATATATTTTACACACACACACACACACACACCCCCACACACACACCCCTACCTATCATGAAATGATTCCTTTTCCCATATAAAAAATTTAGAGAAACTAGTTCAAACTAGTTCATAATGACTTGAGTTAGAACACACGGAAATAGGAATGAATGAAATTGTTTATCTGAGGCTTTCTCAAAAAATAAGATGAGCTTAAAGCTTCCAGAAAGACTTATAACTTGTAATTTCTTTACCTTTTCACAATGCCAGAAACCATATACTTCATTGCCTTTCAGATGCGGTGGTGCTAGAATTTGTTATATTTTCCATGAGACTTTTGGGCGAACCTTAGAATCTGTTGATCCACTTGGTGGCCTTAACACTATTGATATTTTGACTGCCATTAGAAATGCTACTGTGAGTATGCTTAGCTTTTAGACTTTAAAAAAGTGAGGCTAAAGTTTTTCTTATCCACATACTATGTCTTTTTAAATTTAATTATAGTTTGTTATTTTGCTCTCATATTTGAAATTAGAAAGCATTTTTCATGAAAAATACCAAAAATATGACTTATTTTCTTAACTTTTGGGAAGAACTGAAATTACATATAGCTATAATAAGAGTTCTAAGTTTTATTTTTTCAGGGTCCTCGTCCTGCTTTGTTTGTGCCTGAAGTTTCTTTTGAGTTACTGGTCAAGCGGCAAATCAAACGTTTAGAAGAGCCCAGCCTCCGCTGTGTGGAACTGGTTCATGAGGAAATGCAAAGGATTATTCAGCACTGTAGCAATTACAGTACACAGGTAACTGAGAGAGAAATGTAACAGGTTTCACATAAACTAGAAAAAGACATGAAGTGGTGGTTTCATTGGGTGAAAGGAAATGAGTAAGATGGAATATAAGGTAAAAATCTGTAGTTCCCTTACCTGAAAGTGATTTGAAATAGTATTCTTTTTTCTTTTTTTTTTTTTTATTGTCAGGTGGTCGGTTAGCTCACCAACTGAGCTAACTGGCTGCCCGACTGAAATGGTATCCTTAAATATAGTCTCCAAATCTAATTCAGTATTTCTGTGATCATTAAGTGAAAGAAAATTACTGTGAGCCTCGCACGGTGGCTTATACATGTAGTCTTAGCTACTTGGGAGGCTAAGGTGGGAGGATGGCTTAGTGAGAATATGTCTTTTAAAAAAAAAATTGTTTTTCTTTCATCTGCCATTTATAGGAATTGTTACGATTTCCTAAGCTTCACGATGCCATAGTTGAAGTGGTGACTTGTCTTCTTCGTAAAAGATTGCCTGTTACAAATGAAATGGTGAGCTACTATATCATAGACCCTTGTAATTACTATTAGTAAAAATTTATATTTTTGCTTGGCTGCTTTTTAATGAGCATTATATGGTTACTTTAGAGTTTAGGCATAATGTTTTCCAGTGTATTGAGAGGAAAAAAGTTGAGTTTCCACCTCATTTCAAAGGAAAATTTTAAATAATTTTGGTATAAAGTGCATTTTTACTTTATATAATCATTGTTAGCCTGCAGGCATGGGTTTTCTTGAGAATGTATTTATGATTGAGGGTTATGAATAGCTTTGCTGTATTATGTAGTACCACTGATCTTAAGAGAAAATTAGTTCCATCTTTAGCCTCAGTAAACTGAGCCTTTATATACACTCTGAGATACATCAGAGTAATCTGGCCACTTCTGCAGTTTGCTTGTTATGACCTAATAACTCTAATTTCATAGTTGCTTGCTACTGTTCTGTGGGTTGCTGCTGTCCACACACACACACACACAAAATGCTAAAATTGGCAGAAATATGGGATAAGCATTTAAAATTGCTCTTATGCCTCTAATTGTTGGCTAGGTTTTTTTGTTTTGTTTTCTTTCTGATCACTAAAAATGCATTTGGGTCCTTGGCTCAGGATGGTGAGCCCCGTGGAGGTTTACTAAGAGTACAAAACCATCCTTGGAATGTCAGTGCTGCTGCTTGGTTGTTTCCTTAGTGAGGATAGCCCTCAGATTCTGATGTCTAAGACTGCCTTTAGCACAGAATCATTGGAACTTCATTTTAATGATCCTTTTCACCTTGTTCTGGGCTGATAAATGCTGTTCTGATACCTGAGATTTGTTAGGACAGGACATAGTAAAGGGCTTAAGTTTATCCTCTCTGTAAGACTTAGTGGCATGGTGGCTTATGCCTGCAATCCCAGCACTTTGGGAGGCCAAAGGCAGGTGGATCACCTGAAGGTTGGGAATTTGAGACCAGCCTGACTAATGTGGAGAAACCCCATCTACTAAAAATACAAAATTAGCTGGGCATGGTGGTGTGTGCCTGTAGTCCCAGCTACTCGGGAGGCTGAGGCAGGAGAATCGCTTGAACCCAGGAGGCAGGGATTGTGGCGAGCTGAGATCGTGCCACTGTACTCCGAACTGGGCAACAAGAGCGAAACTCTTTCTCAAAAAAAAAAAAAAGATTTAGCAGTTCTGTAGAGGTCTAGATAAATTAATCCCAGCTTTCCTTTTTTATTGTCCTCTTAGGATTTTGAACTACATATATTTTAAACTAGGTGCTTTATAGTTAAGGTTAATTAGTCACTACCTCAGGTCTTTAGATGTATCCTTTACCCAAATAAAGTTCAAATAAAGTTAACATCTTTAACTGATGTTTGGTTATGAACTTATGCTGTTAAAAATGAACTAAAAAAGTGATGTGGAATAGTGGATGATCTGAAGTTTCACTAGCAAAGTTGCATAAAGCCTGGGAATTTAGACTTGCATCAGGAAGATAACTGGTTTTCCCTAACAGTAAAATACTTGCAGTTACTTTAATGTTATTTTTCCCTCTTAGAAATGCAATTTTAGATGCCAAAATGTAAATAATTTTAAAGCTAGAGTAAATAATTATTTGGCCTAAGATTTATCAGTTGGAATATAATTATCAAGTAGTTATTTAGGCATATGTTTCCTGTACTTTTTCAGTATTGTCTGTTTCATAAGTTTTATATATAATTTCTCAAAGTAAAATATGGTTAATGTATTTTTGTATATAGCGTAACTTATTTTTTTCTAGGTCCATAACTTAGTGGCAATTGAATTGGCTTATATCAACACAAAACATCCAGACTTTGCTGATGCTTGTGGGCTAATGAATAATAATATAGAGGTAAATATAATTGTTATGTTTTTTCACAGATGGAAAAATCTGCTGTAACTCAGTTATATCAAACTTATTTAGCATGGCATAACTATAAAATAGACGTGTGCCACATTAGTGCCTGCTGCATGCCAGGAAGTAGGCCGAGGGAATTACATTGTTTTCTTAATTCTTAAAACCACCTGAAGGCATTATTACTTTCTGCTTATGAAATTGAAATTCAGAAAGAATCTGAGAATTCATTCATTTAGTGTGACTGGCTCTATTTTGGT